CACCGAATTCTTTCAAAAATCGATTAAAAACAAATCTGAAGCGAATGAAAACACGATAAGTCAACTATTTAAAGAAAAAATAAACCAACTCAGAGACAAACACATATAAATCTTTCACACGGACGGATCTGTTAAAGACCACCTCACTAAAGCAGCATTTCATTACGAAAAAACGAACACCACACTAGCCTTCTACACCAACAAAGAAATGTCGTCAATGAGAGCTGAACTCTGGGCCTTTGAAAAAGCAATTAACTTTGCAACCTGTCATGGTCTCCGAAAAATTGCTATCTTATCGGACAGCAAGTCTGGAGCGAGAGCATTACAGAACAAAAATAGCACGAATAGCCTTGTAATTCAAATTTTAGCACTTATAAACAACAGCAACCTCACGGAAGTAGAAATATATTATATACCTGGCCATAAAAACATTTATCAAAATACAATTGTTGACTTAGCCGCCAAAATCGCTGAACACACTGGTAATTACGAAGACATTTGCTGGACCCTGGCAGATGCGATTAAAGAAGTCGAAAGGAGATTAACTCAAAAATGGCCGGAAGAATATGCAACTATAAGTCTAGAAAAAGGAAAAGACTATTATGCGATGTTTCCAAAAATTATGAAAAAACCTTGGTTCCATAAGCCGAAAATTAAATTTAACGCAGCTCAAATAAAAAGGTTATGCAGGATATTATCAAATCACACTTTTGACAAATGTACAATGTTGAGACTAAAAGTAATAGAAAGCTATAGATGCGAAACTTGCAGTTGTGAATATGATACTACTCACATATTACACATCTGCCCTAGGTGGGATGCAATTAGAAGTAAATTTCCTGCACTCTGCAAATACAACAATATGATACAACTATTTCAAGCGGAAGGACTGAAAGCTCTGCAAATGATAGACGAAATCATCAATAAAACGAAAGTTACTCTTTAGTGATAATCGACTTATATCAACAATTACATAAACAAACTAGAAATCCAGCAAACATCCACAACACAAATCATAAGATATCTTTATTCAACAGAATT